TTGATATTCCAAACTCTCCGAAGAAGGAAGCCCTATTGTTTGTAAGAGACCGATGCAAACGTCTCTAATCTCTTTCAAGTCATTTCGAGTTATTAAGAAGATAAGTCGGAGAGCGTATGGGGAATCCGACAGGTAGTTTCTCTTTCTCCGTCTGTTATCTCTGTCATTATCCTTCTAAGGTAACTGAGGAGAGATCGGCTTTGCCACCGTAGCTCTCATTCCTTTCGGCTATCTCAATCGCGCGAGTCCGTATTTCTGATATTCCGTAAAGTTGTGTGTAATTTTTTTTCTTGTATTGGTCGACCTTGGCTTGTCTCCTTGCTAGTAGTTGTAGTAGAAGTAGCAGCAGTAGCAGCAGCAGGTCCTTGGAGGCGTGGTTAGTTCGAAATCGTCATCTCGCCATCGCGAGGTCGCACAAAACTCGCAAAAAGGAAATAGACTATCTTGTTTGCGTGGTGCAAAAGAAGTTCACCTCGAGAGAGAGAGACCATTTCTCACAAGTCGTCTTTATATCTTATATACACGTGTGGTGTACGTAGTATATGCGTGTATGCACGCACATCTCGTTGCCGCCTTGTGCTCATTCCCCGAGATGAAATCTGTTGTGATCCTTGATTTCCTGGGCGTACGAGTTTATTGTAACACATCCAATCATTCTATTCCATCTTTGAATCCAATTGATTGTCGACTTCGCAATTACCTTTCTCTTGTATCGTATGCCTTGCAATAAAATTTATTACAATTGATCATTCGTCGTATTAAAATGAATACTACCGAACGGGAAATGATTTAGTTATTTTCGTGAAAGAACAAGACGGAGATGCGTTTGTTGAACGTGAGCGATAAAATTTTGTCGTCTTTGCTTGTATCACAAAGTGACTCGAAGATAACAGAAAGTTCTACCGTTAACGGAGATATGTAGACGCCTGTCTCCATTATCCAGGTGTTCAACCTGCTCGCTTGCAACCTCAGCCTTTCGAAGGAGTACTTTAAACTAAACTAAACGGAGTACGGTTTGTTGGTTACATTTAATGGTACTTCTCTTGCATCTCTCTATCTTTCTAACTTGCTTAGATTGTTCGCCCTTTTCGCGTAGTTGCTGTTGTCGTAGTCGTCGTAGTAGTTAACAGTTAGTCGGAACACGGAAGCTGCACCTTTACGATTTAATGGAACGCGATGGAGGCCGAAGTAGAGGACTCGTTGAAATTGAGCCTGGAGATGAATGCCACTACGAGTTTTGAGCTATAACGACCGGTTTAATGGCTGGCTTAGATTCATTGTATCGGAGCACGCTTCGGTGCTTAAGCCTCGAGAGAGGTACTTACTTCCAAAGTAAGTATGCGAGAGCTCTGATCAACGACTCTGTTTACTTACGTGCAACGCCTGTGTTCAGTTAGGTTTCACTCGATCTCTCGCCACTATGGCAGCCTTGCGTTTACCAGCCTTGCGTTTCTAACAACGGAATGTTCGCTGTTCGTTCCTTCGGTATTCTCTCGACAATTCGACGCTTCAAGAACGAACGCTATTCAAAGGAGAGAAGATCTTACAACGAAATCTTTTTAGATACGTTCCATCTCGAAATACTTTAGACATTTTTCCTCTGTGCATTCCGTAGAAGAAAAGAGAGAGAGAGAGCGTGAGAGGGAGGGAGGGAGGAAAAGGGAGAGAGACTTATCGACGCCAATGACGAAAAGAAGCGGAGACTCGAAACCGATAGTAGTCCCATCCCCAAGGAGAGCGGGTCAAAAACTCATTTCGAAAATTCCTCGGGGAGAAGTATGTAATTATCTGGGAATAATGGACACCCTAGGCGGTCTGGGTAATTTTCGTCCACTCAAATCCATCCCAAGGGAACCAGTTGAAATATGACGGCCATTTAATTGTCTTCTTATTCGAGTTCGACTAACAATAAGTTGTCGTTCACATCCTTTTGTAACGCTTTACGAATAATCATTTCTCTTTTTTTTTTATAATATAGTAAGTTTCTTTTAATAATATTTAATAATGGAGAATACACACATTTCATTTAACAAAGTATAGTTTATCGGTCCGTAACAACTATTGAAACAAACTCGCTCGTTAAAAACTATAATACGAATGGGATAAAACGGTGGTAGTAATTTGTAGTACTTTAATTCGGTGTAAGTCACACTTGGATAATTTATTACCGATGTAAACGAGACGACGGTGCACACAGTAATCCCAAAGCCCGAAAAAAGTGGCCAAAAGATGTGCAATGCTCTCCAATATGTAACTTTAAGCTTGTTTGAAAAAATATTTCTCATACGGTATTGACGAAAAACAGCCATATACTTCTCCACTAGCAACTACATTTGATATTTACTTTACTTACTGCCATACGAAGATCCCATATTCCCATATGTTTAGATCGAACAAATATTAACTACCTCTAACGCGTTTAAATTAACCGTAATTTTCGTGGTGCAGTAAAGTCACAAATGCGATGTGATGCGTTCTACGTTCACGTTTCAACTGATAATTTACAGGTGTGCATAAGCACTTATCCATAACAAATGGTTGAAAAGAGGGTCCATTAAACATATTCCAATGGTTAAAGGTTAAAAAAAAACCTTAAGGAGAGAGGGATGGTAGGGGGAGGAGGGCGAGGTTGGCCACGTTTTCGGGATTTGGGACCACTGTGTGGCGTGACGACATATGAATTATGAACGTTCCTTCCTTCATCTCGTTACGAAGGGACCCTCGAGCGAATCTTTAAATGGAATTTAACGTAAAGAACGAATGCTGAATATTTTCTAAGATATTTTTCTCGATAAGGTAACACGGAGAATGTAAATCTTTTAATTGGATCTCTTTTTACTTTAATTAAAATGGTAAAAGGACGTTAACTTTCGCCGTATATCTATCTTTTTTATTTTTCACTTCGGTTGAAAGGGAATCGCGTTTGAAATATAACGAGGCGTGTCTTTTATCGAATTTTCTACTCGATTCACCTATACCTACCTACCCACCGGCAGAACTGGTCGACCTCTATCCGCTCTGTGTTTTTGTTTATCATTTTCCTCCAGACATCCTGCTGTCGTATTGTTCCCCTCGTTCATTTGCGGCCGATCCTCCAGCTAGCTAGCAGAGGAGAAGGTTGGAGGGA